TGCAAGAGGCACAACCGCTGTGCTGATCTGGCGGCAAGTTCGGTAACATGCACCGGACGAGCTAAACATCCCCACGCTACAACCTGGCATATCTAAGCTCCACGTCAACACCCTCAAAAGGGAAAATGACGTATAGCATCGGCGCCGCCGAGTCCACCGGACAAAGGTCTTCACCTGGAGCCCTGGCACGACGAGAAAAACCATAACGACTTCTTTAGAAAGAGCACAGCACCCACGGATGTCGCCATCGTTGGCGCCAACGCACAGAGCTTTCGCTCAGCCACTCAACCTTGTCACTACGAGGCCGCTAGGAGGAGCACGACGATGTCGGCTCCCCATATCCGGATCAAGACGCCACCCTCCGGGAGAGAGAGAGAGCACATCTGGGCTACCCGTCGCACCATCTTCCGTTGCCCCCACAACCCGGGAGGTGAGCCACCATCAGCGCAATGCTGCCCGACAACGAGCGAGCAAGCATGTGAACCGCCATCCGAGGCCGCCGCCCCGGCATCCCTGTCGCCAGATACAGTTGGTCGCGCACCTCACGCCGCACACAACCACGATAAGAAGAGCAACACCAGTCTGTCAACTCCTAGCCCCACATCAGTCCCTGAGTCTGGGTAGGCGCCTCCACCGTAGGAGGCACCCACACCTGCGTCCCACGCCAATACCTAATGGACTGGGAGGACACAACTCTGAGACTGCCGACGGCCGTCGGCGAGCCTGCCCCATGCCCATGGCCAGGCGAGCTCACACGACCCCATGTCTGTGGTCACTAGCGCCGATCAATACTAGTAACACGACCACCACCATTGAGTACCATACCCGCGAAGGGAGCCTGCACATCCCCGCGAGCACATCCCTGGCCACACCCAACCTCTCCTACCCGAAGCAAGAGCTTCGATCCGCGCTGGGCCCCGACTAGACCTGCCTGAGCACAAACTCTAGATCTAGTACATTCCCGAAACATGTGCGGCTGGCACCACCGGCGCTTGCCCAGCCCCGCACACCGTCGAAACAGATCCAGGAGAAGAGGGCCGACACCGCCGCCCCGCGCCGCCTGAAGAGACCTGGCCGCCGCGCTACATGCAGCCCCTTCATGTGCGCTCTGCCGCCTTGCCCAGGTGTCGCCCAGGATGAGCTCGCACGCAGGGCAGAGCACCACCACCGCCCACGTCATCTGCCACCGGAAGGGGAGCAGAGTCCACTGGCTAGCACCGCCGCGGCCCGCGCCGCCTGCCAGCCAGATCAGTCGCCGCGTCGAGGCGCGCACCTCCGCCTGCAGCCGTCCATGCCACGACACGCCCGCCAGGAGGCTGCACGCCGCCACACCGCGGCACCCCGCGCCCGCACACAATGGGCAAGCCCACGCGGCCCCAACACGCCGGAGGAAAGGAGCCCTTGCAGCGGCGAGGGAGGGGGAGCCTACGACGGGATCTGGAAGCCCTCTCGGGCCACCTCGCAGGTGGCGGCGCGGGAGAGCGTAGGGTTTTGGTGAAAAAACACGATGAACATAAAGCAAACTATTCTTTCGCCTCGGTGAATTGTGATGGTTAATCCAATCTAAGCTAAGAGCATCTCCAACTCTAACCTGTAAATCTTTAGCGTAAATGTTCATTTTTACGTCCGAACACTAATACAGAAGCATGCAATCCAACGCTAGCCGCAAACGCTGGCCTTTATTTTCTCAATCGAACACTTGGTGCGCGGCGGGGCGACCCGGGCAGGGCACGAGCCGGCGCTGCCCGGCCAGCTCAAGAAGCGGCGGGCGCGACCAACACATGAGTCGGGCGCGGGCGCCGTTGACTCCGGCAGCGGTCAGCTCGTGGGCCAGATGTCAGGCGGGGGCAGAGCTTGACAGCGTGACGACGGCGAGGTGATGCTCCCTATTCCCTAAGGGGACCGATCTTCACGGCGCCACCGAGGAGAAGGCCGCGCAGCTGGGGCAGCCACGGGCACGGAGCTTGATAACGTGACGACGTACGGCGAGGTGTAGCCGCCGCACACGCTTTTCGTTGGCATCACCGGTGCGTAGCTCGCCTACCGGGGCGTGTCTGCGCCGTCGCCGGCCGGACCTTCTCGCACCACTCGTACTCCGGGAAGTGGCGCGCGGTCAGGCGCGATGCGATCAAACATGTGCGAGCGTGTGCCGACTGCCGAGTCCTCACGTGTGCCCCCCGAACAACCAGCAACCTGCCTCTGCATGCTACTTTTGAAAACAATTCGGCGTGCTTAGATGTCGTAACGTGTCAAGAATCTGGCGCCCGGTGGACCTCCCGATACTAGCAAGTGTGCTCTTTGTTTACGGGCCTCCGAGGCTGCCTAGAACGATTCTCTCGCCCTCGGAGCGTGCAATGTGCCCACATGCATGGTTGCAACTTGCGAGCATCAACCATACCAAAATGTAATCGCCCAGCCAACAATTTCGTTGTTCTTTATCGAAAAAATAATTTCGTTGTTTTGCTAAGAGTAGTATATTGCGTGGTGCTTTTGGTTGCGAGTGAAGTTTGGACCTTTGGCCGGTTTGTTAACTCCAAAGTCCACTTTGATAAGTGCTCCGATGGCGCTTTTAGGTGCGAGCAAAGTGTAGTCGTGCAATGTTGCGGATTCCGATGGTGGTGTGCCCTCCGTACTAATCACACGGGCTTTGCCCCGGTCTTGCTTCTAACCCGTCCAGTCCAATCAAAGGGTACTTTTCAGCTAAATCGCAGTGATGGATTGTTGCTGAGAAATTATGTGCTATTCTCACTCGTCTGTATCCTGATACGATGTATTTTCAATTGAACTCGTGGAACGCCTGAAGTGACATGTATGTATTCTTTTGCAGAAAATCGACATATATGTGTATATATATGCCAGCCAGGCTGCTAGCTTAACAACACTGCAATGATTCGCAAAAAAATAAATTAAAATAAAATAATAACACTGCAGTGGACATGAATCATACGGTTATATACAGTGTAGAATAATGCGAATAATACGGCTAGATGATACGGCCCTCCTGTGCATATACAACGACCATGAGCTTCGGCATGTTCGTTGAGTGAAAAAAAAAAACACGAAATCCAGTCTGGACATGAAGGTGACACATGAGAGGGAATAATGGTTGGATTTCTTCAACTCTGGTGGTACAGTTACTCGTTGCAAACCTGTCTCCCTGTAAATTCGTCATGCATGTGACACGGAACTAGTAAGTGAATTAAAAAAATAATAGTATTTCAACATTAGACCGGACACAATCGCCATGGATGGGAGCCTCGGTGATCTTATTTCTTCCATGCCAAAATTTTGGACTACATGGGGATCGCACACAAGGAAGAAAGCATGTTAATCACACATATAATGAGCGTTTCCAGACGAGACGATCTTCTTTTGCCTCCAAGAACTGTATTCCAATATGGAATATAACCAGCTCCCTCAAGCTGCTCATATCACGTCGGTCCGCATACATCCACAATCCTGAAGCCTATATGGACGGAGGAGTGTCGAGCACAGTAGGCCATTTGATCCATGGACGCTTCTACCGAGCCCAGACGGGCACTCTGTGCGGGCTCTGCCGCTGCGACTGCTGCTCCGTCGTCGTCGCGGCCGCGGACTTCTTGGATCTCTTCTCCGCCGCCTCGTCGGTGTCGATCTGCTGCTGCCGGCACTCCTCGCTGCAGAACGGGGTGTCGCCTCTGCGCCAGCAAAGAATCACGTTTACACATGCCACCATCGCAGTCAAACCCCAGCGCATGACGGCGTAAGATGTTTACCTGTACATGAAGATGTCCTTGTTTCCAGCGATTGTCCGCCCGCACCGGAAGCAGGCGTCGAGGTAGTGGTGGCCGAGCTCGCCGGCGTCGTCACGGGACCCGCGCCGGGGCCTCGGCGACAGCGAGCTCCGGTTGCGGGGGGAGGAGTGCACGACGGGGAGGAACCCTCTGTGGACAATTTCAGAGGTCTCCAGGGAGCTGGGGAAGTAGTAGAAGTCCTCCATTTCCAGGCTCGGTTGGTGTCCGTCTAGCTCCCTCCTTGTTGCTCGGTTGGTTGGGAGGAAGGAGGAAGGAGGTGGTGGAGTTAGGCGGGGAGAGGAGCGCGGGTTATAAAGGGCCGCATGGCAGGGGAAGTGTGTGCTTTTCGTTTTGGACCCTGGGTTTCGTGCGGGATCCCGGCGTGATCCTGACATCCTGTACGGCTGCATAGTTGGAGTAGTTCTTTCTTTTTTTCTTTCTTTCTTTGCGTATATCAAACACATAGATGCACGTACGCCTATCCTGTGGCGGAGACACTACATTACTTGCCATGCACATGCACATAATTTACTGTATTTAAACTGAAAAACATAAAAGCATGAAATCATCCGGACATCTTCAACACCGACACACAAACCTCTCACACGTGTCCGGACCGTGCTGTCCTGACAGCGGAAGCCATCCAAGGTGAGCTAGTATCGGTCCGTGGAGCGGTCCGAACGTGATTTCTCCCGCAAGCGGAGACAAATATGGGGGCTTTACGGAAGTCCAGACCGGTCCCACGCCCGTTTTCTGACCGCAGACCCACCAAAAACCCCTCTCCTCTCCCACGCATTTTCTGTCGGCGTTGTTCCAGAGTGTCAGCGCCCGCATTCATGCCCGGCCAGGCGAACACGACTGCTCACTGGCATCGTCATTGAAGCGGCACGCTGGCCGAGAGAGCGTCTACACCGCTTCTCGGTGCGCGCGACTGCCACACGTTCAAACGACACGAGGCCGTAGTTCATCTGTCTGCCGCCCACATTGATGGCATTCAGTTGCCGAGGCGTCTCCTCCGGCGCCACCCGCCTGCCCCTCTGCCGCCCACCGTTGCTATAAAAGCCGGTGCCCCGGTCATAGCTGCAGTCATCCACCTTTGATCCCTCTCCGCACCACTCCCACCATGGATACCTCCCCCGCCAAAGCTCTTTGGGATGGGATGATGTCAGAACAGAAGAAGGATATCGCCGCCATTACTGCAGGCTGGCTGGTAGGCAGACAACGAAGGACGACGACGTCCCAATGGAGGACACTTCCGATGATGAAACGACGCCACTATCCTCCTCCTCCGAGCCACCTTCCTCCTCCTCTGTGCCCCCGTCGCCGGTGCATTGCACCATAACCATCGGCGAGGCCCGTGTCCATTACATGGACATGGTGCGGGAGGAGCAGGAGGAGCAGTTTCGGGAAGCGCAGGCCGATGCCTCCCACAGCCACCACCTCCTCCAAGAGCATCTCACCGCCGGCAGAGCGGTCGCGCCAGACGCGAATATGGCGGAGCAGGAGGCACTGCTCGAATCCTACTGCTCCGCCTAGCCCGCTGGCGATACCGGCAGCAGGTGGCGGACGTGGCGGCCGCTGGCAGTGCGAAGATGAGGCGGGCGAGGTGGTGTTTGCTGAGACCGACGACAAGGAGGAGGAAATCGCCGAGTCCGTGCCCCGCCACGACGACCACGAAGCTCGCACATCGCCGACAGTTAGGAAGAGTAGTGCACGGAAGGTCACCGCTCAAGATGGCAACGGGGACGAAACCCACCGGGTTTTGCTTGTCCAAACCCATCCCCACGAGAAAATCGCAAACCCGTCCCCGTCCCCATCAACGTGCGCGGGGTTAAATTCTTGCCCATCCCCTAAACCCATCGGATTTTAGAAACCCACGGGAACCCATCCCCACGAGCAGTCAACAACATTTGGAAGAAAAATAGGAGCATATTACAGCAGCAGGCGACGGCTGGGGGACCTAGGTTTAGGATTAGGTGTCGTGTTGTGCGGGAGAGAGAGAGTCCTAAAGAGCGAGCAACACTGCAGAGACCGAGCGAGGGGTTGGTCTGTACTCCAGGGCCTCGACACTGTGGGGCTCGGCTGCTCAGGCATTGTGGCTTTGGGCCACTTGAGTCAAGATGGATCGGTACGTGCTAAATAATGTATTTTGACGGGTTTTGTCGGGTTTCGGGTTCGGGTAGTACTCAAATGGGTTTAAACCCGCGAAACATGCCGGGTTTTATAATGTACCCACGAGCAGCCCCGCGGGGATAGAAAGTCGCTCATCCCCGTCCCCTAATAGGGTAAAAACCCGCGGGGATGCGGGTTTCGGGGCCTCATTGCCATCTTGAGTCACCGCTGCTCTGGTCCGAGGAAGGGCACCGCTCCTCCCCTCCCGTTTACGCCAAGCTTGGTGGGCTGAACATCATCGGCCGATTAGCCGCTTGGTGTCGACATGGAGGCGGACAACTTCGCTTCCCGTGGCTCTGGAGGCAGAGGTTATAGAGTCAGAGCTGGAAAGCGCCGAGGCGGAGATGAAAAAATGCGAAGCTTCAGTTCTCTTGGTTCACGGTGGGGCACGGGGAACGGGCGCCAACGATCATTTAGACATAGCCGGACGAGCTCCGCTTAGTTGATGTAAATGTAATGAAATCCATCATGTTTAGATGAAATTCGTCATGTTTAAATGGAATTTGTCATGTTTATATGAAATCCGGCCGTGTTTATATGAAATCCGGTCGTGTTTGATCGAATTTTGTCTGGTACCTATCCACGGAAGGATGTTGGGGAAATTTCCGGGTTGCCGTTAAAGATGCCCTAATACCACAATACATTATGTACAATATGTTATAGTATAAGTGAACTTTGCGTAAAAAATATTATGCACACTAACATTCTTTTTTGAGGAACTGGCAGATCATCTGCCTATATATTGAGCAGGAGTAAAACAAATACAAAGGTCCTTACATGGGAAGAGAAATAAAGAACTAGTCTAGCCTAATCAGGTTCAGGTTCAGGAGAATTCTGTGTGTCACTAGTCCAATGAAAGGAGAGCATTGGCTGGAGGATGCCTTGCTTGATCAGGTTAAGCAGCTAAATCATCATTTGGAGTATGGGGCATTGTGGTTTGATTTTCTTTTAACGTTCAAAGAACCATCTCGATCTTAATTTTCGCCAACAGCACCCGGGCAAGATGGAGATGGTGCGAAAGGCCGACCATTGCGCTTCATTCCAAAATCTACCAAGAAACTAGCATGAACACCAAATAGATCACTAATGCCTCACATTTGTGATGACGGCTAACTGCCAATGTTTCCACAACATTGTGGGTTCCTCACATGGTAGGAGTTCAAGACCCGAACCCGTTCCTCCATATTCCCAAGATGTGCATCGAGTTAAGGCAACTAAAGGGTAGGTGAGCCTCCTAATCATGAACTTGCTTGCATATGGGCATAAACCACATTTTGGACACCTTGGCTATCAACCCCTATACCCCTCTTAGGGATGAGGAGCCAAGCAAAATTACTTTTAACAGGACCCAAGCCTTTAGCATGGTGTGGTACAATGTGGTATCCATGTTACCGAGGAATTGAGTGAAATATGTTGAATCTGCTAATAGTCCCATAGTGCCATGGCCCTTGAGCAGATGGATCCACTAGTGTCATGGGCCAATTAAAGCTGATTAACCCATGATTAACCCGCTACATAAGTCAAGTTTTCATTTGATGTGCTCGACCGTTAATCCACTGTACATTCTGATGTTGGTGACTTAGGCTGTGTCCTACATATAACGCACCATTTCTTCTCAAACATCTTAAAAATAAGGGACATGATATTTCTATGTTCAGCTTGGAGTTATGCAGCCCGGTTGCTGTTATCTTGGTTTATTCTCGTTAGAGCATGTATATTGGTTGATAAAACTGTATTTTTATCTATATTCCATGTCATTTTTAGAGAATACAAAAGAACATCTTATATAATGGATTAACTTTTAGTATATTATCTCTAGCAATCAATGTTTACATGCTCATAAAATTATGGGGTGATCTAAATTGAACTAAGAATGTGTAGCTAAGAGAGGACATCTTGTACAACTAAGAAAATGTCAATATTTCTTAATTATGATATTATCTCTTATATAAGAGATGATAAATATCATTTTATTTCATTTCTGAGTATTCCAACCCAAATCCATCCTATGTGGCGTTACTAATTGTATTGTATGTGCTATTGCTTTTTTGTGCGTGAGTAGGTCAGTGGCGAATTCACCATTAGGGCAAGCAGGGGCCTCCCTTGCACATTGACCAGCGGGCGCAGCATCATCAAGCTCCATTGTTATCCGTCACCCCGGCAAATTTTGATCTCTGGGCCCGCCATGGGCTGGGTGACAATAGGGATACTGTTTGATTGTTTGTTTAGTGGACGGATACAAAGTGAGCTCAGCATTGTTAGTGCTTTCGTGCTAGTACTTTCATGCTAGTACTGATGCTATCTCGTTAAATGAAAAAAATGTGAACGAATAATGAGAAAAGGACTGAAATTAATAGCGCGTAACTTAATATGATAAAACAAAAAATAAGACATCAAGAATCATAGAAATTTTATGCCTTGGTGATGTGTTCATCCTCCATCACCCCTTTCTGAAAAGGAACAAACCAATGATGGAACAAGAACTAAATAAAGCTGGAGGTTCTACTAAAAGCCGGGAAGTGCCAATATATAAGAGGCCGATCCTTGTATGAGAACAATAAAAATTAAGGTGGTTAGGCAACTGGTTCAAGTTGCAACAAATCTAGAGCTTGGCTCCTTTGAGTGCTTATGTGGCTAATCGGGTTGCCGAGCAAAAGCAGGCGCATATATGGTGGCATGGTCCGCCGATACTATAAGAGATCTCATATTATAACGAGCAGCACAGCCGGCCTCATGGGCTCGAGCTCTTCATATTCTATGCGATTCCCCCCTTCTCGGAGCCATTGGTGTTTTGATTACTATTGCTGGCAGCAAACCGTTGATGTACGTTTAGTATATGAGCATTTTGACTTCTGGAACTCAGTCGGCTCCTTGTCCTGTTGCAGTTACGTACATTGCGCATGCCTCCAAACAACGCGTACGTGGTAGCATTGGCAATTGGCATGCTTGCATTGCTTGATCTTTTACCAATGCTGTTGAATTAGTGTTCAAATTGCAGGTTTAAAACTTGCTGTAATATGTCAGTGGGGGTTTA